AGTTCTGCTACTTTCTGCTATTCTTCTGCTATTTCAGCTATAGTTCTACTAGCTGCTACTCTTCTGCTACTTCAGCTATAGTTCTGCTACTTTCTGCTATTTCAGCAATAGTTCTGCTACTTTCTGCTATTCTTCTGCTATTTCAGCTATAGTTCTGCTACTTTCTGCTATTCTGCTATTTCAGCTATAGTTCTGCTACTTTCTGCTATTCTTCTGCTATTTCAGCTATCATTCTGCTAAATTCTGCTATTCTTCTGCTATTTCAGCTATAGTTCTGCTACTTTCTGCTTTTCTGCTATTTCAGCTATAGTTCTGCTACCTTCTGCAATTTCAGCTATAGTTCTGCTACTTTCTGCTATTTCAGCTATAGTTCTGCTACTTTCTGCTATTCTTCTGCTATTTCAGCTATAGTTCTGCTGCTTTCTGCTATTCTTCTGCTATTTCAGCTATAGTTCTGCTACTTTCTGCTATTTCAGCTATAGTTCTGCTACTTTCTGCTATTCTTCTGCTATTTCAGCTATAGTTCTGCGCAAATGGCATTCACACTTGCATTTTCGTAGGAAATGCAAATTTTCTAGTTATTATAGTAGAAGGAAGATGTCAGTGTGTTGCAGTGTCTGCTCAGAGCAGAGTTCATGTGTTTGTTTTGGTTCAGTCCGAATTCTTACGCTGAGGCCTGTGTGCTGTACTGTGAACCTGATTGGAGTCAGAAGATTGAAAATAAAGTTTTAACAAGAAATCTAGCAGATTCCTGTTTATTCCGACATACCATTTTGAACAACGCATATTTTCCCCACAACCAAATATAAAATATTTGCTTACTTAATAAAAAACAGAATAGTTTAGAAAAGCTTCTTCTTAAAAAGACCCATCAAAGTTATTGACATGAACAAGTTTCTGCTTTACTGAGAAACCAGCTCAGAAATGTCGCATTTTAAGACCTACTTTCTCTTAGAAAGTAGTGATTCACTGAAGAGTCGTTACTTCTGCTTTCTGTCACACATTTGAGTGACRTTTTACCCTCCTTTGAAAATATGATTCTAACAGTAATCCTGTTTTTGAAATAGCCTTTTACAAATCAAAACTCTACATATAAAATGGCTGTATTCTTTAACAAATAGGTTTTTGGGTAAAGTTGGAAAATTGTGAAAATGACAAAAAAAAGTTCTCAGCATGTAATGTAACAACTTTGAACTATACACTTTTTTAATCTAAACATTCAAAACTCAAAAGTTCTGTTTCTTATCTGTAAATAAGAAATACTATGAATAGATCAGTGTTCAGACTTGTCATTTTATTGCCATTAAAACTCTTAAAAATCAGTCCAGTTAGTTGATTGAACTACTAAAAACGCATGGATTTCCAGCTAGTGTTAGTTATGACTATTAATTTGGAAAAGATGGTGTATACTGTAGAGCTGAGCATGAAAATACTTAAAAGACCTTGAATGAAAACTGGAGCAAGCTGTTAAATGTTAATGTAAGTTGTGGTGGGGAATAGTCTGTAATTCCACTGTGATCCCAGAAAGTTATGTTTTGAATGCTTTTAGTAAGCATAAGATAATATACCTAATGTGAGAGGCTAAACACACATCATTAGTCTTAGAAACACCATGAAGACAGCTCTGGTTTCTTCTCAGTCTGTTGAGGTGAAGATTAAAATGGTTACTGTTTTACATGTTTACACAACAGCCTTTAACAGAGTTTAATTGTTGAACTTGTCAGTAAAGGTAAGAATTACACACAAATATGCAACACTAAGTTACCTTCTGAAGAGTTGAGGGAATCATCAGCACCATGCATGACAAATACCAGCCACAAACACATGAAATGAGACGTGTGAGTGATTGAAAAAAGAACAAGAATAAGGAAAACATGAGAGACAATAAAACACAGATTGAAGATGAGAAGAAATAAAATGAAGTGACCCTAAGACAAGCTAAATCAGAAAGCCAATGAATCACAAGCTGCGCACTAATTATTTTATTTGGGTTCTAAAAGTCAAAAGTACAGTAAACATCCAACAGCTTAATTTTCCTGATTTAGGCAAATTAATCATCTGGAAGGCAAATGATTAATTAATGCTGATGAGCTGAAACTAAAAGCAAACACATTCAAACTTTTTTTTTTTCCCAAGGCAGCTGAAACCAGAGGGAAAATGTGCAGCTTTTGAAATGCAGAGATTTTCTGTTCAATCATCACACTGTCATGTCATTAAGCCAGGAACTTCAAACGCCGCTAATCAGAAATAGATTATAAGTCATATTTGGTTGTATCAGATTTAAACCAATGGGATGCAAGTAAAATGAAAATCAAATTTGTCTGTAACAACACACAAACAGTTTGCAGTGATATTTAGGACAGGCAAGGTCACAGTTTTTAACAAACTATCACTTTTTATGAAGCTTGAGCACTAATACAAATGTTGCTAATCAGCAGGGGTGATTGAGTTCTCCTGCAGGGGAAACACAGCTACAACACAAAACAACGTATCATCTGTTTTCACTATTACAGAACAAACTTGTACCTTCAGCAGAAACATGAGAAATACCAGCTAGACACAACACAAGAAAAGCAATCAGAAAATACCTATACCTAAATCTCTAAATTATACCTAAATAATTTGTGATGTCTAAATTTTTGCCATTCTCCTCCAGAAATGTAAACTTTTATGACTGATTGCTCTAAGCAGTATTATCTGATGTCCAAAAGAGTATTTGTCCTGGAATTAAAAAAAGATGTATAGAAATATTGATTTAAAGTCATTATTAGGTGAAGATATATATGTTTTCATCAAATTTATTTCAACTATATTAATTCTAAACTGTACTCTGTACTTAGTTGCAAACATAACAGACATTTGTTCACTGACACAAAACTAATCCAACATGCTAGTACTGTATATAATTTTTCCCTACTATTTCCTATTAATAAACATTTCCAAAGTTTAAAACCAGCAGCAATTTAGTCTCTTTGTCTAAAAGGCCAACATACAAATCCTTAAGCCATCCTTTTTATCCATTTCTGAGTTAATAATAAACAGTGGTGTGAGCAGACTGAGGTAAGAATAACGAGATGAATCACTTACTTTTGTAAGTTGAACCTGATGGATAGAGCAGACAGATGAGATGAACCAACAGATAAAAAAATGAGTGATTAAAATCATAAAATGAAATGAAGAGATGAGATGATCAGTAAGTAAACTAAACAACAAATCATAAAGCTCCACAGAAGCTCTCCTCAGCCAATATACACACGCAACCAGCAGAGGGCGATAAACACCAACAGACATGCTCAAGATTTATTGAAAGACTCGCATACAGATTTCTTTTAACCAATAAACCAAAACATCATGACCACTGACAGGTATGGTATGACTGCTCATCTTGTTACAGTTCAGATCTTACAAGAAAAACCTGCATCCTGGCATTTCACATTTCTCATTATCCAAACATTTCTACAAACCACATTTCCCCTCACACACACATCCTGGTATTTGYACCAAACCGAGGACATTGTATTGACTTCCATTCATTTTTGTAACTGTATTTACGCCTAACCCAGACATTTTCCCTAAAATTAACCATTACTGGTCTATAGTTAATCCTAACCTGAACCAAAACACATCATAACTCTAAACCTAACTAGTACAGCACAGCAGAGCTGCAAACAAAGTGAGGACATTGAAGCAGTCCTCACTTTACATCAAAGACCTCACTTTGATAGCAACTATGGCACAAATGGTCCTCGCTCTAGTCAAAACAAGAGCACACACACACACACGCTCTTGAAAACAGCACACCTTCACAACAAGCAGCAGTGAGCCAGAAAAACAACACAAACAATCTAAGATGTTTATTTTTCTTCTAGCGTCTCAGATCTGATGCTATATGCACAAAGACCAATCTTAAAAAGACCTCAGCCCAAAATCTACAGACCCAAATATCTATCACTGATGTGTCAACAGCAGACACCTCAGAACGTCCTCAGATACTCGTTGTTCAGGTTTTGACCAGTCAGTCATGTTTTAATGGTAACAGTGATCATATTCATATTGCTGATTGGTCAACAAAGCAAGTTTGACTTTTGATGAAATCAGTGAGTAATTCTGTGATTTAAATAGCGGCAGATTGTTTGGATAAATAAGTGTTTCTTAAATTCTTGGATGACAGGATTTTCCTCCATGGAAAAGTAAAAAAGGATAAAACCAGCAGTTGATGTAGCTCCTGTTGGCGCAGTGAAAACATTGGACAGAAAAGATGCTGTTTTTATGAAACTGTCCAAATATTTCAGATGCTCTACTTGATAATGTGTTTATAGAGATGCGGTGTGAGTAATATGTTTGTGAAGACAGAAATGAAAAAGGTTTTGATAAAAGCTTGTGCTGTAAATCGTGCACTTACGAACAGGCTCTGTCTTGAAGAACTCAGCAGGGCTGCTTTCTCCTTCACCCTTCCCGTTAATGGCTGCTAACTTTACTTCGTAGCTGGAGTCTGGCTTCAAGCCTGTTATTGTCACCTCATTGTTCAAACCTGTTACAATATCAGAGACAGGACAAGTCCTGTTGAAAAACACCTTCACAAGTTTGATGAGTAATAGAACAAACTCATCTCTTTTTCCAACAATACATTCATGATTAACTCCTGTAGTAGCAATCAGAATCAGCTTTATTGTCATTCATACACAACATCAAAGATGCAATGCAGAATGAAATTGCAGTTAAGAACACAAACATTCATTAGTTCAATTTCTAATTTAGTCCAATAAAATATTAACTGATTGTTTTTATAAGAGGTTCTACAACAGGAAACATAAAAATAACAGCTGTCGAATGATTTAGGGACAAAAATGACTTTTGAGACAATGACTTTCTATTTCACCCTAAGCTATCACATATTTCAAAAAAGTATGATTTATCATTTAAAGAAAACCAATTTAATGGCATGATATAAATACACAAAAATCTTTTTTTATAAACAATCCTATATAAGTAATTTTGTTACTGAAGCCAAATAAGCAAGAAAAACAACAGCAACAACACCACTACTAATTTAGTCGTTTGCTTGTTTACCATCTGGAATCTCGTAGACTCTCTTCATCCAGCCTCCTCTTCCCTGAGTCCTCCACTCTGCTCTGTATTTCAGAACAGGAACGCCTCCGGTGGATTCTGGCTCCCCAAACTGGATGAGTGCAGTGGTGGAAAAGGGTCTCACTTCATCAATGAATGGAGCTGATGGAACCTCTAAAAGCCGGAAAATGCAGTCGATTTACCACAAAACACTGTAAGATTGCAGTCTACTGTAGTAGTCAGACTTCATAGTTTTTTCTTTAAATGATGGGCCATAGCTTTTAGGTTTAAATAGCATATAAAACAACTTGAACTTAAAAGAAAAATAAGATTCAAACCAATGATGCTGCCTTTTATCCTTAATGCTGAACTTAAGTAAAGACAAGAATAAATTAAATCCTCTTATGACTAATTAATTCAGATAGAAGTTATTCTCCTTTACCGTTATTTACCCTTATTTCATAAATTAGTGTTTTGATACTAACTTTAAAAACAAAAAACACAACAAAAAAACTAATAAAAATTATTAGCCTCAATAATGTTCAAAACCTTTGCCAGAAACTAAAATTTTGAAACAAAAAAACCTTTGCAGTCTGCACAAAATTGAATGTTTCAATTAAATCAATATCCAAACACTGCCTAAAAATAAAAACCAGTAAAATTAAAAAGCATTGTACTTTGAGCTGTGAGGTATGGACATAAAAGACAATGTGGTTTCATTTAGTCTTTTCTTTTGTTTTTTGAGAGGAATATAATAATTTTCAGCATGCGCTGTGCTCCTCATTATAGAGAAAATGATTTTTTWAAACTATTTAACCAGTTGTATCACAGCCTCATCATCTCCAAGTATGGGTGGCAGCTCCAGACCCAGACTCATCCTGTGGTGTGAACACAGTTCTGTACTGCATCACTGTGATCTGAGAAGTAAAAAGGCACTCTGTAATTACTGCAGTTGCCTTCAGTTAAAAGTGCAGTTTTCCTCCCATTCATTCACTTTGAGTGGTGGCTTAAAACGGTTTYTCTCTCTTCCATCTGCCTTATGGGTACGTCTGCAGTCAGTGGTAGCAGTAAGAGGTACCAGCAAAATGCTGTAAGAGTTTCCTTATAAGGCTTTCAGTAAACTAGCAGCACACAGGGATACATACAACTTAAACTATTGTTTTACATTACCTGCTTACATCCACAAYAAAAAGAGATGAGTGTTAAGTTACCTGTTGTCTATTAATCTAAATTTATCTTCCTAAACAAGCCATGCTTCTAAAAACTCATGCGGTAGATTTTTTTTGCCACATCTATGATCACAGTCCAAATAAATAATTTGATGCATTAATGATTTTGTTTCACAGTAAATACAGATGTATAACAGACTGAATGTATGCCATGCATTCTGACATTTTCATAACATCTGTTCTAGATTTGTTAAAAAAAAAACCTTCTTGCTGATTATGAACAAACACTTTAAATGCCAATTAAACAAGAAACTGAATCACAGCCTCATCACTGACCAGCCTGAATGAGCAGGAACTCCTTGGACTCTGTGCCCATATCGTTTGAGGCGGTGCAGTTATAGCTTCCAAAATCATTTTCAGACTCAGGGGTAATCTGTAGAGGAGGGGGAAAATGAAGCAGTAAATGAACGAGGGGCACTGGAACAAAACGGATGAACAAACTTGTGTGTCAAATTCTACGAAGGTGACCTTTTTGTTTGTCCATTAGAGTAGCCTACTTCTGTTTGTTGCTACGAGCCTTCATGCTGCTGAATTATTCATGGCCYTTTTTTTTCCTCCCACAAAGGAGTTGAAAGAAAACCCCTTCACTTCCAAGTCTATGCTCATGAAATCTTTATGACGTGAGGTGGTAGGGGGCTACGAGGTGTGTCTGTGGATGAATTGTGCGTGTGTACAGTATGTACATGTGTTTTAAATATGCATACCTGCAGGAAGCTGGATAAGGGAGTTCTGAAGATCTTGATGTTGGTGCTGTTTGAGTTGGGAAGCTGCAGTCCATCTCTCAGCCAAATGATAGACACATCACTGGGAAAAGCTTTGACTTCACAGCTGATATTGACAGGATTTCCTTCCCAGGTATACACTGCAACTGTCCCATGGATCTTAGGAGTATCTAAGAAATAAACGTTTTACAGAACCTTCAAAATACTGTGTAACACTTTAGTAACTGTGAATCCCTTATTGTAATATTTTAGAGAAACTTTTAAAGCATTTTTATAAGGGAATACTCACATCGAACCTCCAGATAAACYGATTGTTCGTCTTCTCCAATGGCACTGCGCGCGGTGCAGAGGTACTGACCAGCATCTGTGTACTTGACGTACTTCACGGTGAGGGAGGACACCCGAGCATCACTCCTCACTACAACATTTCCATCCAGGCTCTAAATTACAACAAGAAATAATTTGGTATGGGGAAGGGAGAAACAAATCAGATTATTCTGTGGCCATATTGGCACTATGGCACGATAGAGCAGAAAGCAGTTTGACCTGAAAAAAAAAAAAAAAAGGCAGCCTTTAATAAAAAAGAGTGGGCATTAAATTAATGAAAGAGGTGAGCTCTGCTCTAATAAGAYGTGAGAACTTAAGGACATAGATGACAAGGCAGGGAAGCTTCTAAATAATTGATGCCAGACGCCATTAGAAACCATCTAAAGATTTTCACATGGCAGCTTTACAAAGTTGTGAAATACGCTGATGCAGGTCCACGGGCAGCAGAACTTTACTGGGTGTTCCATGCCTGCACTTTCACACTCGAGCTGATTGCTCTCTTGCATATTAAGTAAATGAYGTTTTTATCAGATCAAATTAAATATTTTGATTCTTGAAGATGCTTTGCTTCTTATCCGAGGAGTTTTCTAAATTTGAAACTAAAACATGCTGTTTTAAATTAAACAAGCTCCAAATTTTGCACCTTTTGGTTCAGTATTAAAAGAAAAACCTCAAGTAAGAAGCCAAACATTAGAAAAMAAAGTCCAGTTATCCTTTATTTAATTTGCAACAAATGTTATTTACTTAAAACAAAATGATCTCAAATTAAGTGTAAAAGTGCAGACATGGATCATCTTGTGTTGCTGTCACTGGACTATTTTTGTTATTTTTGCTGCACTACTACGCAAAGGTCTTCAGTACAAACCTTCAGTCAGCATGTACTCTTGTTTCAGTGATGAGGAGAACATGTCAAGATACACAGTGTTTGAAAGCAGATACTTTACAGCAGGAAGCTCTCTAATGATATGTTTAAGTAAGAAATGTAGTCTGCATACATCTGGTTTCAAGRAACTAAACCGTGTAATTTGATCAGATGCAACTTTTTGTGTTGTGATTGTTGTCATGTGACACTGAACTGACAGTGTATCAGATAGGTCAGAGTAGCTCTAATAAAATATAATGATAATTAAAATACTTGAARCCGCTAAACTTTGTTTTACCATAAAAATGAAAAATAAATAAATAAAAGCATTAAGAAACCACAAATTGATATTTTGTTTCTGCTCCTAATGACACAATCTCATCTGAAAACCTACCAATTGTAAACTCAGTGATTCTCAGACCAAATCAAATTTAATTTATGGATCGGAGAGATGCTAATGTTTCTCYGCAGTACTTTGTACATTTGTCTCTTTTCCGAGAAGGCAGAGCTGAGTTTCTAAATATCTCTTATGTCTGCTTTGATGCAAACTGAAGGTGAAGAATGCTTTTAAATGTACTGAATTAGAAACCAACCTGGGCAGCCATTTAAGAAAAAAAAAAAACATTAGTTTGTATTCAGATTCWATACACAATGCATGTCTGAGGCATTCATTATGCACAGCAGGTCTCACAACCAGGGAGACACTTACATAACACACACTACCCTTTATTCTGACCCCTGTGCAGTTAGCTGTCTCAGTCGACCCCTGTGGTACTGAGGACTGCTGCATCTTTGCAACGTGCCACACTGAGTAGAACCATTAAATCCTAATTAAAAAGATGAATTCAGGTTCAAGTCCTTTTCATTTCTCTGTTCCTTAATATTGAAAAGCAGCTTATAATGTCTCTATAACTGCACCCTGATATTACTTACAGTACATAAAAACTCTGCCTGTAGAAAAGTATACACATCACATCATTTTTGTTTTTTAAAACCAAACTTTAAATTGGTGTTATAGTCAACACCAAAAGCCATTATTTGCTTTTTTTCTGCTTCTTCTAAACAGATGCGACAGAACATTCAAGATATCCAAACTTGCTATAAAATTAATGAAAAGGGAAGAAAAAACAGCAAATACATTAAGATTAGTGTCAGATAAATAAAATCAAACTGACAGCAGAGTTTTCCAACAGATTTTTCTTCTGTGCAAACAGAAGTGAGACGCAGAGGGAACCTTGGAGCATAAAATTGGCACTACTCAGAGGACACGTTAAACTCATGTCTCATCAAATATTAAATGGCCTGGCATACCAATGTACCTTGCCTTGTATGACCTATTAAATGAACATACTCAGTATTCTCACAGTGCGCCATGCTCCCCATTCCCCTTGTGTGAGTCGTAATTGGATGTCTTGCAGAGAGAGACACACTGATCAATCTAGAGTGTAGGTGAACTTAAAAAACCCAATCATTATGTCAGAAAGTGAAAACTGTTATTGCCTTATTTATTAATGCAAACCTGAGTACATGAAAAAAGAAACCATGTGTGCAAAGATRATGCTGGAAAGGGATTTGCAAACCTACAGTTTATTAAAATAAAATAAACTATAATAAACAAGTCTATTTTTGACCCCTGTGTGTGTGTTTTAGGGAAAAAAAAATTGTTAAAACTAAAGAGTGAGAACAAAAATGGTTTGGCTTCTTTAACGGTAACCAGCTGTTCATTAGTAGCTGAAATTAGTTATTTGTTTTCAAACTGGACATAACATTTTTTATTCACTATATTAGTAGCTTATTATTATTG